CCCGACGTTGCCACCACCACCCCCCCAGGGCTCGCCCACACCAACCTTTGACACCGCGTGTCTGCCGCGTCCCGCGGCACAGAGCGCGGCCTGGACCGGCAGCGGGCCCTTCCCAGCACTGGGCCTTCTCAGAACCCGCAGCCTTCGGTGTCGTCCTCCACCTGCCCGGCTGCGCAGCACTCGGAGGTGGGGCGCGCGGCCACCCGGGAGGTTCGGATGTCCTCACCGACCTGCTGTTGTGAAGGGGGTGCCCTGTACGCTTGACCAGGGGACCCCTAGATATTTAGTGTGGCAAGCCCCTGCATCTCCTCAGGGCGAAGCCCCCCTCTCAGCGGCAACAGCCTAACAGACGCCCTCACCGCAGAGGCAGATCCGTGCAGGTCAGTGAAGCCCGGACCTCAGAGCCAGGCCTTTTCTGGAAACAGGGTCACTGCGGGTGGAACTGCAGGTGTTAGGATGAGGTCGGACTGGAGTAGGGTGGGCCCGACATCCGAGGATGTCTGTCCTGGTAAGAAGAGGTGAGGTTGCAGACAGACCCAGAGGAGGCAGGGAGTGGGGAGGGGGCGAGACTCGGCCACAACCCAGGATTACCAGCTTCACCAGAAGTGGAAGAGGCGAGAGCCTCAAAATAGGTGTGGCCCCGGACACCTTGTTCGGACTCCCGGCCTCCAGGAAGTAAGGGGATGGATTTGTGTTGTTCTGAGCCCACTCCCCACCACCTGTGGGTTTTTGCTACTGCGACCCCAGGACACCGGCACAGGTGGGAGAGCCTGCCCCCAGGTAGAACACACTTCCAAGCCCTGACCGTGCCTCTCACTACCTCGGACAAGGGGAAGAGGCCAGCACCTGTGGGCCCTCACCCCAGAGTCCTCATGGGCACGGACCTGGCCCTGGAAGGGCCTCTCTGGGGTGACAATGTGTGGGAGCAACATTCTCGCAAGTCCCCCCAAGTGCCACGGGCACGAGTGAATCTGGCCAAGACATAACATGATCTGCTTGGGGAGGAGGAGTGGGCTGTGGCCAGTTTCTCAGGGGAGACAAAGGCCAGCAGCAGCCTCTCCTCAGAGAAACTGGCCCCGAGCCCCCTGCTCTATAGCCTTTTATTGGGTTGTAATACACAGGAATACAGGGCGGCAAGGATCAAACAATAGATAACATTTCAAAGAGATCTGAGGGCTTAGTATTGGTCAGTGTCTGTCAGGAAGAGAGTTGCAGAAACTTTGGGAGACATACTCATTTCCTCTCAGACCCTTATCATATGAATGAAAGCACTCTTAACAGAGCAGCTTAGCAGCTGCAGGTTTATCAGCAAGTCTTTGTGATGCCAGATTTTTCCCCAGGACATGCTCTAGCAAGGCAAGGAGCTGCACCCCTCCCATCAGGTATTCAGGCTGAGGGGGATTAGAGCCAGGAAGCGCTTCTCCCAGAGAACATGGGGACTCGGGCTATGTCAAAGGGGGGGGGGGACGGGGTCTTACCCATCATTGACTTCCGACCAAGCTCTGGGGGCAGGGAGAGGAACTGAGGCAGCATTTGCTACCAGGGATAAGCTTTGTCTCCTGCGGCTGGCATTCCAAAGGTCATCTCGCTCCCTTAGCCACAAGGGGTAGAGATACAGTTCCTAGAACCAGGCACAGCAGTCCACAACAACAGTGCCCTGCTGGCCCAGCTACCGCAGCACCCACCTCTGCCAGGCCAGAGCCCAGTTGGAACAGATCTCAGAGACTAGAAGCGACACGCCATCCCCAGCCTGCATCTCCAGCTCAGGCCTCCTGGCTCAACCAGCCTTGCATTGCAGCTGAGCCTAGGAGGTGAGGTGCTCTGGCGGTGATTTCAGCCAGATGGGGGCCAGGCCCTGGGCCTGATACAGGGTGCAGCCAGGGGGCCCCCCAAAAAAAGATTTGGAATAGTGTCCAGAATTTGAAGTGTATAGGAATATTGGAGAGACATATAAGATGTCCTCACACCTCCCCCCAGGGGGAAGAAACGAATGGAGCAGGGCCATTGAGAGCTGTTTTGCATAGCAACAGTTTTGGAGCTAACCTCTGGAATGGTTATTTAACATATGTATAACCTTTAACTGGTTTCATAGATATGTTAAATAGCAGTGGCCAAGTTTGGGGCCGAGGAAGAAGGGAGTAGCTGGAACTCAGGATGGAACAAGGGGCTGCACTCCTGAGTTGTCCGGCCCGCGGAGCAATCAACTGGGGCTCGACCACCTACCTAGAACAAATGAGTTGGGGGGACAAGAGGCGTGAAGAATGGCAGCAAGACAAAAGATTCTGATCAAGCTGCAAACTTTATTTTTCCGAACTGGGTATATATATAGGGGGGGGAGGGAGAGGAAGGAGATTAGGTTGCTTGCTATTGGCTAGCTTGAGACAAAGAAGGGCCCGCTTATTGATTACTTGGGTGCAACTGGTACTGGTGGACACCTCATGTGCCTGTAGCCGATTGGCTTTGTGGAGCGCACAGGTTCCTGTAATCAATGCAATGTTTTTAGCTAGAAGCCAGGTGTAAGGTTCCCAACACTGAGTGAGAAGGGTTTGGACTCAGAAGGTAACCAGGGGCTGCGCCCCTGAGTGGAAGGGCCGGTGTGTGGGAGCTTGGAAAAGACTGGCTCCAGGACATGAGGGGATAACTGCCCAGGTGAAAGGGAAAAACCACGCAGCTTTGCCAGAATGGAGATCCCTGCAGCCAGGTGAAGAAGAAAGCCACATGCTTTTGGTGGAGTGCAGACTCCTGCAACTTTGGTAGAAGAGGCCCACGCGGCTTTGGGGTGCCCCCTTTGGCCGCGGGGCCTGAAAAGCAAGAGAGAATTTGATTGGAACTGGGTACAAAGGACTCTTGCCAGTGGACCACAGTACTCCCACAGGAGAGGGTACCACAGTACTTTGGATTAACTAGAGAGAGATCCTGCCTGGACCGTGACACAGCTGACGGTGCCAGCGGCCTGCAACACAGACATGTGTTCTTTTCCTGATTTACGGTACCCGGAGTTGGGACAGTGGGAGAAGGGAGCGCTGTGTGGGTGTAGGTGTACAACCTAAAGGACTTTGATATTTTAGTGGTGGCGTTAGGCCTGAATAGCATTAAATAAACATTTTGTTTCCTTTTCACAAATCTCTGGCTTTAAGAGATGTCTTTCCAATTGGCGGCGGACAGAAGAGCCCAGTAGATATTAGTATTTTGTTCTTGGGAGGGGCCCCTGTTGTATAGCAGCTTTTGGCATCCCTAGGTGGGCCAAATATTGTATTGCCCATCCCTCGGACCTCTTGTTCGGTAACAGGCCCACCCTTTGGCCGTGCCTGCAGACACAGTTTCAGCTCGGGGGTCCAGCAGACCCGGCCCCGCCTCCAACACCAGGTCCCAGGTAAGTCCCTCTCCCTCCCTTGGGAGCTCCAGCCCCCAGTCTCTCAGACCCTCATTCTTCACCTACAAACACTAAAGTTCTGACCACTCCTCCCACCAGCGCAGGAAAGCTTTCACTGGCTGCAGATGGATTCATGATCCCACAGAACCCGCAGCAAGGCAGGCACACCCACACCCTCCTGCAGGCAGAGGGCGAACTGGATCTGGGTGCGTCACCCGGCAGCTGCCCTTCAGCGTGGCCTCATTGACATGTGCCTGGAACTCCAAGGAGGACGGTGCCAGGCTAAGCCTGTGTCAGCCCCTCTCTCTGCCAGGGTGCAGCAGACCCCCAAGGCGAGTCCATCTGCACAGTGGTGCCTTCCAGACGAATCTGAGGCTTCATTTTCCCAGAGAAGGGATTTGCTAGAGAGCTACTGGCTCCCAGGAAAGCCAGGCTTCAGTCCCTGGGCCCAAGGGGGAAGCAGCTGCTGACCCACCCTCTCTCAAACTTTCACTGTCCCTAACTCCAGGGTCCCACCTCCCCCCAGGCACCCGGTCACAGTCAGAGGAGAGGACTGTTTTCCCCTGGCCCCAGGGGGCAGGAGTCTTGGTTACTGAAAGGTCTCAAAGGCTGCCATCACATCTCCAAAATGAGACTCTGGGGACCAGCCTGTCTCTGAAGGGTGTGGAGGCCCCTCTCCCAAAATACAGGCCTGCATCAGGCTGCAAGGGCTCTCGTGGGTCCTGGCCCAACCTGAAGGTGCAGAGACCCACCCAGGAACGGGTGGGTTCAGCAGGACCATGCACATCGCTGCCTCGGGGTGGAGAGTGGCTTCACCGCTGACTAGATTTGAAATGGGGAGCTTTTCTGGTGCACTGGAACCCCCGTCCCACCCACGGAAAAAAGAGAGGAGCTCTGCAGAGGACTGGGAGGATGATGCAGCGCAGTTGCTCTCCAGCAGGGGGCGCCAACACCGGGAGAATGGTCTTGGTGAAGGCTCTACTTCAGCCTCTTCACTTCTCCTCCTCTCTGGCCACTTCAACCAAAGAGGACCCAGAAGTGAAGGGAGGGCAAGGACTTGGGATGGAAAGAATGGGAAACCGGACCTGTCCCTGGCCTTCTGCAGATTCCCCCGCCCAGGAGAAGCTCTGAATGAGAGACTGAGGTTCTGCATTGGAGCAGCTAGACTTTTTCGCCCCTAGAAATGGGACTGCACTTTATTTGGTCCAAGAAGCTGATCAAACTGGAGAATGAGGATTAGGTGCCCCGAGTCAGAAACAGCAGGGGCGACAATGGAAACACAAATCTTTCTGCTTTTATGCTGCCAAGTCAAGTCACTCAAAGCATCAGTTACAGGCTGATTGTGACTGAAGGAGGAAGGATGGAGTTCCCGTGCGGGACCACGGTGGGAGCAGTCCTCTGTGCCGAGGTTTCAGAGCCAGGGCAGAAATCCGCCCTTCACCCCACCAAGAGAACCCACCCACGTGGCCCTCTTCCATGCTGCGGTCAAGGTTGACTATCTGCCTCCCTCAACACCGTCCACCTTCTGTAGCCTGGGCTCCCCCTCCAAGAAGATGCCACCCACCAGCTGCCTCGGCCACACCCACAGGTAAGTACACTCAGTCCAGAGCCTGTGTTTGATGCAGTTTAATGAGCTACAGAGTGGGCCGGAGTCCTGGGATGCTGCCTCCCACCCCGGCCCCAGCCCCGCCTCTCCCTTCTACCTGTCAGGGGAGGGACGGAATGCTGAAGGAGGGGGCAGAGGCAGAAGGATCTCAGAGCAGGGGCTTGGAGGGGCAGTAGATGCAATGAAGAGCTAGCTTCGGGGAAGGAGCCGGGAGGGTCCCCAGGTGCCCTAGAGGGACTGTCTCCATCGCATGTGGGCAGCATCCTTGTCCACGTCCTGGGCTCAAGTAGAGGAGTGGAGGTAGCCATGGATCCAGGACAAGAAGGATGTCACTCGGGCATAGACTCCAGGAAAGTTGGGCAGGCCGCAGCCTTCACCCCAACTCACCACTCCAACCTGCAACCAGGTGCCCCTCCAGTTACAGACCAAGGGGCCCCCAGAGTCACACTGTGGGAAGAAGAAACAGATGTTCAATAATCAGGGTCCCTGTGAGCAGGAGCAGTGGATGGAGGCCACAGTCGGGGCAGGGGTCTCACCTGGCAGGAGTCCCGGCCCTTGCTCCCCGCACACAGCATGTCGGCCTTGATAAAGTCTCCGATCAGGCGGTACTGCTGCCTGCAGATTTTGTCTGCCACGATGGGGACCTCCACCTCCTGTAGGTGGTGGGGTGGGGGCAATGGTTCTGAAAAGAAGCCAAGAGAGCTTGTGGTCCTGAGGGGCAGACACTCATAGGTCGTGGGTTCCAGGAGCACCCTCCGAGCCTCAGTGCCCCAGGGACGCTGGGTGGGAGTTCCCCAGGGCTTCACCTCCCCGGGGTCATTCCAGGTCAGAGGCTGATAATCTCTAGGCTGACACTGTGGGCACCAGGCTCCGAAAAGAAGCAAAGGGATAGATTTTTTTGTTTGTTTTTTGTTTTTTAAAGGATTTTGTTTATTTATTTTTAGAGAGAGAGGAAGGGGCGAAGAAAGAGAGGGAGAGAAACACCAATGTGAGAGAGAAACATCAATTAGTTGCTTTTTGCACACCCCCAGCTGGGGACCTGACCCACAACCCAGGCGTGTGCCCTGACTGGGAATCCAACCAGCGACCTTTCAGTCCGCAGGCCGGCGCTCAGTCCATCGAGCCACACCAGCCAGGGCAGATGGCTCTTTCACCCACAAATAATTATTTTTAAAAAGCCAGAGCAAGTGCTTTCCCCCAGGAAATGCAGAGTGAGTTAAACATAGAGTGAAATTTGACTTTGTCCTTTTAATAATCAATCCTTGAGCAAGTCGCTCAGGTTCTCTCCCCTCGTTTTCCAACCCCCCTTCCAGACTGCGGGGAGAATGGGGACTGAGGAAAGGGGGAACCCACGTGAGGGCACACACAGGGCTTGGCCTGGCTCTGGCTCCTCTGGTCTCTGCTCCTGAACAGAGTCCTGGTGAGCTGCCTGCCTCCCCCTCCCAGGAGAGGCCCCAGCAAGCGTCCCCGCTAAGGCCTCACCTGCAAAGCCTGCCAGTCGCCCCACTGGGTCTGCCCCAGAGTCACCTCTTCCTGAGGTGACTCGTCATCCTGATTCTTACCATTGACAGCAATGTGACCCCAGCCTGTCACCCAGCACCTCGTGCCTGGGGGGACTGTGAGACTCGCTGGTGGGAGGGTGACACAGTTGACCAGGTTGGACAGTCTCACGGGCGCCTTCAGCTTGAGAAGTGCCACGTCGGCCCCACTTTTTACCCCCTGTGTAAAGTTGTACTTGGGGTGGCAGATGACCGCAGACACTGGCACTTTGTGATCGTTTGAGAGTGTCACTTGTCCCACTTGGACCATGAAGTGCCCAGGCACTGGGTTTTTCCTGGGGGACAGAAGACCAGAAGCTTCTAAGAGGCTGCGGCAGAGCAGAAAGAACCCTCCCGAGGTTGTGTGCCACGCCTCAGGGGCTGGCAGGTGGGGACTCACCCTGAAATGCAGTGGGCAGCGGTCAGCACCCACTGGGGGTGGATGAGGGAGCCCCCACAGCAGAAGGTCCACTTGTTATCTGCCTGGAACCGGTGCCACAGGCTCACCTGCCATGGCCACCTCCCAGGGCGGGCATTGTGCCCTCCCACGATGCCCACCAGCTCACCGCCTGGGCCAGGGTCTGGGGAAGCAGAGGAGGAGCCGTCAGGGACCCAGGCACCCCTGCCCGGAACTCAGCATGGCTCTCATACTCAGTCCCCCCAGGGCTGTCCCCGTGTGGAGACTGCCACCGAATCCTAGGGGTGGCCTCTGAGAGACCAGGGTCAGGAGTTTGGAGACAGGGCAGGCCTGGGGATCAGGACTCACCTGAGGTCACAGGCATGAAGCCCCCCAAGCAGGGGAGGGTCAGAAATAGCGGCCACAGCATCTGCAGGGAGAGAGGAGACCAGAGTGAGGGGAGACGTGGGGCAGGGCCCCAGGGACTGGCACGACAGAGGGCAGGGGGCTGAGCAGCACCCTCACCCTGCCCGGTCTCTGCATTCTGCCCCTGAACCCCTCGGAGCCCTTTTATCCCCCCGGCCCAGGAACTGCGCGGGGTGGGGGGGGGGGGGAAGCCCACCTTCCTTGGGGGTGGGGCATGGGAGGAGGCGGGGCTCACCCCTTCAGTGGGACTCGTGGTGACCAACAGGCCATCTGTCCAACAAGAAACACTGAGTGTCTTCTCTGAGCCCATCAGACGACCCGGTGCTGCAGACATGTCGGTAGTGAGATGAATAGTATGCACTTGGAAAAAAATTGTTAAAGATGAGACAAATAAAACAGAGTAAGGGCATGAATGGAATAAGGGGCTTTGCACCTGAGCCAAGAGCTAGGTGCTAGGAGACCCCGCACTTCCAATGCTCCCCTTCTTTTCAGGTGCACATCCTCCCCAGATGGGCAGACTTGCTGGAGCAGGAGTCAAAACTTGCCCGCAACACAGGGATTTGGAAGAGGTAGGAAGGACCCTTCCCTGGAGCCTTCGGAGGGAGCAGGGCCCTGCCGACACCTGAATGTTACACTTCCAGCCTCCAACACTGACAGGACACGTTTCTGTTGTGAGAGGCTCAGGGTTGTGGTATCTGTTCCCGCTGCCCAGGACACTCCCTCACACTTGTTCCACTGTCCTAATGCACCGTGCACACGGTCCAACTTTGTCAAAATGCACAGTGAACAGTGAGAGAGGTGCCAGTGTGATGCTCTTCTCCTCACCTCTCCTCACGTCCCGGGGGGACTGCTGCAGGCTCCCAGGCACCCGGCTGTCCCCCCCAGAGCTGGGAGCGCCCCCCACCCCACCCACGCTTCCTGCTTTCTGAACAGAGCAGCTCCGTCCCCCAAATCCAACTCCAGGCAGTGGCTGGCAATCCAGCCAGGCACAGACTTTTCCGTCCTTTTGACATTCTGAGACTCATTCTCCACCATCCGTGGGGTGGGGCCAGCCAATGGTTTGAGAGGAGAAGCAAGAGGAGGGGGGTCCCCACACTCCCAAACCACGGCCCTGTCCCCAGTGAGCCAGGTAACGAGGTCATCTAGGGGTGCTTTGCAGCACTTGGGAGAGCTCAGGACTCTAGAACCCCATCATTCCCTCTTGGGACCAGAGTCATGTCAACCTCGCTGAGGTTGTAGCTACTCTGGGGGCACCCGGAATCTTTAGGTGACACAATCAGGATCCAACGAGGCCAGGGGGCCCATCAGAGAGGGCGTTGTGAGCAACCAGGAGAGGAGGGGCTGGGCCCACAGGCCCCTGGGACGAACCCCCTGGGTGGTGAGGGTGGGGCTTCCTCCAGGGCCCCTGCTGCTGGTCTGGACCAGACCCCGGCCTTCACTCGCGCTCAGCTGCGGATGGGGTTTGGGGAAGGCTCCCCGGCCAGGTGACAGGAAGACAAGCCACAGATGTGTCAGCAAGAAGCCACATGTCCCAGACCCCAGCCTGACGCTGCACCCAGTCTTCCTGTCCCCCAGCCCCAGACCGAGTGATAACCGCCTGGGCCCAACTGACCGGAGACAAAGACAGCATTCGGACCTATGAGGGGAGCTACCAGAAGCAGAAGCAAGAGGTTCCTGGGGCTCGGGGGGACGTCTCGTGACGGTTGTTGGCAGATAACACAATCTTCCTCCCAGAAAACCAAAAGCCTCAACTGAAAAGGTTTTAAGATTAAGTTTCTCCAGGTGTCTAGATGGAAGATAAATGCTTTAAACACAAGTAAGAAGAGCAAGAAGAAGAAAGTCACCTTTTTAACCTCAGTACCAGCTAGTGAGGTGCCGGGGCCGCGCAGACGCAGTGCCCAGAGCACCCGGACGTTCCCACTGACCGGCTCTGAGAACCGCCTTCACTGGGGTGCTTCGGGGGCCAGGGCGCCACAGAGCTTTCCTCAGAAGGAAAACACCAGGGAATAAAACGCCATTCAGAGTCGCTGGAAAGAGACGCTGTCATCCAACACCAGCTCTTCGGAAACCCGAACAGAACACACACCACAGGCAGATCTGTTTGGAGACATTCCTTTGTTATCCTCACCTGACCAGGGGCCGAACCCACAACCCTGTGGTTTACGGGGCCATGTTCCAACCAAATGAGCCACAGTGGCCAGGGCTGATTCAGGTAACCGACGTTAAAAGTGATGCCCAAGTTTGTCTGGAGAAAAATACAGGTGAGGATGTCCCAGGAGCCACAAGGCGGAGCGTGGGGCAAATTATGCAGCTGGCATCAAGAAGTTGTGACAATGGAGGCCGGGCGGCCCTCCAGTCCAGCAGAATGGGCTGGAGGCTGGGCCTGCGTGCCCCTCCTCACACCCCCGCCGCAGCGACGGCCCAGCAGCAGACAAACAAGTGGTGTGAACTCAGAGGAAAGGAAGAGGGAGACGTCGGCACCATTGATGGACCCTGGGAATCAGATGCAGGGGGTGAGGAAGCTGGGGGCGGGGAGAAGTGCAGCCCACTTTTCTGGTGGTTGGCTTGAAGCCCCCTCCCACTGCCAGAACACATGAAGACAGGGCCCCTTGGTCCCCGAGGGACCCGGGCACCTTGCTCTCAGCAGGGGGTGAGGGGACAGTGTTGACGCAGGGATGGTGAACAGAGAGGTTGTTGAAGGTCTGGACACGCAGCTTCAGAGCCTCGTTAGGACGGACAGTCAGTTGAGCCCCGCACCCACCCCCCCCCCCAGGAAACAGGACCAGACTGTGTTCTGAAGCAGGTGTACCAGAGGCTGAAGGGCAGGGTCACCCAGCACAGAGGAGCAGAGGAAGGGGCAGCAGAGGCCCGAGGCTGGGACCCGGAACTGAGGGAAAACTGCCCGTGATCAGGACCCAGGGCCCCCTCTCCACCTGCACCCAGGGGCCACCCCCCAAGGGTAGGCTGGCGGACCCATCCCCTGAGAAACGCTGGGCCCCAAGCAATGCAGGACAGCGACTGCAGGGACTGGCTTGTTGCCCAGTCGTCTCGGAGTAAAACCAAATGGTGCGGCAGCCAAGCCGGCTGACAGATTCGCCTCAGCACTTGAGAACCTCACTCGTGGGATGGTGAACAGTGGGACAAAGGGGGAAGCATCATTCGGAGAACGTGTACCTGTGACCACAGACACGGACAGCAGTGTGCGGTGGACTGTGGGGGTGTGGCAGGGTGGGCGGAGGGCACAAAGGGGGACCATTGGGACAACTGCAGTAGAATAACAATAATAAAAAGAAAAGAAGCCACAAATTAGACAAACAGCAAAGAGTAGGAATTTGGAGATAAATGTTTTGTTATTCAATGACCTGTAATGCTCACGAAAACACAGATTTTGTCTTCACAGGAAACAAAGAGAGAGAACCTCAGTTGAGTTTGAACCGTTAATAAAAACAGTTGTTCTTGTTTGTCAGAAAAGTATACTTAGTTATGGTGGTAATTTTTGGCATAGAGTACCCCATTTTTCATAGCCTTCCGTTTTTCTTGTGTTTCGACCGTACTCAACCATTTCTGTGAGCATCCTGATCACCAGCGTTTTGAACTGCGCATCTGATAGGTTGCCTATCACCTCATTGCTCAGTTCCTTTTCTGGAGTTTTGATCTGTCCTTCCATCTGGGCCACATTTCTTTGTCTCAGTGCACCTGTTACATTGTAAGCAGTGGAGTGTTACGTGCTCACCAGGGTGGGGCAACCCCCATGGCTCTGTTGTGACGCCGTCTGTGGGGAGGGGTCCCCGAGGGAACAGCTCTGCTTGCTCAGCTCTCCCCAGCTTTCAGTCACTTCCCGCACTAGCAAAGTGGGCCCTTCTGAGGCTGGTTCCCAGGTGGGCAGGTTTGTGTACGTTCTAGGACCCTGTGGGTCTCTCCAGTGAACTCTCCTGTAAGGCTGGGAGTTTCTCCTGCCACCTCAACCCCCACAGGTGTTTACGGTCACAGGTTTTGAGGCTTTATTTCCCTGCACTGGGACCCTGGGTTGTGTGGTCTGTCTCACTTCTAACCCGTTCCTCCAGATTTACCCTCACACAAATGTGGACCGCAAGCTGCTGTCTGGCCCACTGGGTCCTCCAGCCACCACCTGGCCATGTGTCTCCTGTGCCCTGGCTTCAGGTCTGGGCCCTCCTCCCATCTGCATGAATGTTTCTTCTTTAACTCCTTGGTTGTTGGACTTGCATACGGGTCCATTTTCTAACAGTTCTGGTTATTTTTTGTTTTTAAATTTGTTGTTGTCCTTTTGGTTGTGCAAGCAGGCAAAGTATAACTACCTACACGTCCATCTGGGCCGGAAGGCTGCCTGATCTCTTCTTAAATATGAAGATAACAGTTGGGGCTGACCAGGGAAGCATTACATTGGAAAGTTAGAAAGCAAAGTAAAAACAGCTGAGAAAAAAAAGTTATTCAAAGCTATTCAACTAACAGCCCTGGCTGGTGTGGCTCAGTGGATTGAGTGCCAGAATGCAAACCAAAGGGACACGGGTTCGATTCCTGGTCAGGGCACAGGCCTGGGTTGTGGGCCAGGTCCCCACTGCGGGGTGTTCAAGAGGCAACCGCACATTAATGTTTCTGTCCCTCCTTTTCTTCCTCCCTTCCCCTCTGTCTAAAAGTAAGTAAATAAAATCTTAAAAAAAAAAAAAAACAAAGCTATTCAGCTAACAATGAAGAAAAATAGAAGAAGTCTGAGTAAATTTTCAGGGAGATGGGAGAAGACAATGCATTTATGAAACAAAGATTACAAAATCACGTAGTGTTTTTTCCTAATATCCTATACCAAAGAAATGACAACCAACTGCCCTTGGACACTAAAAATATACTAAATATTCCATTAAATATAAAATGCTAAATTAAATATAAATAAATACTCAAAAATATAATAAATATTCAATTCAATAAAAATGTAATTAATTATTCAATAAATACTTGAAAAGTTAACTCAAGAAAAGATCTTAAAAATGAAACAGAAGGACCAAAAATGGGTTTTCCTGATTTCTTAACAAACAGAATAAAAAAAAAAGACCATCTGTCACGTTCTTGGGTATTATCTGATCTGGTAAGACAAGAGCAGTCCGTGATGCTCTTACAGGTCGAA